AAGAGATTCATAAATTTTGCATGTTTGAGAAGTAAACGGCCATTAACAGAATTGGCAATGAAAAAGGCATCAACAAAAATTGTCCTATCCATTCATGAATTTGCCTAAAAGATTTAAAACCTAAACTCATCCCAAAAACCTGTTTGAAGAAAAGTACCTGATCCTATTTCTGGTAAAACTAATCTAGCCTTAAATTTACTAATATCCTAAAAGTAGGAATAAAAAGAATCCTAAACAATAAATAGAGGGATAATATGTTAACAAATAACTTCAATAGCCAACCTTTATTAACAATAAAGAGAGGTACAAGACTCAATCTTCAGTAACAGTTTGAGTAAGCAGATTCATAGCCCAAAAGGGGAAGAAAACAAAAGACTAGGTAACAGGCAAAAATACTAAGTATATAGATTATACAGCCTAGAAGGAGAAAGAAACAAAAGACATAGTAATTGGAAAGGTGCTGAGTATATAGATTATGCAATGCATAAAGCAAAGGAGACGAAAGATTCTAATGCCTATAAGGCAAAAAAAAGTAAAGAACAAAGTAACAAGAAAGGCCACAAAGTGTAAAGACTAAAGACTAATTTTTTCAAACACATACAAAGAAATCTATATATGAAAACAAAAATAACTTATAACACAAACCCAAACCAAATTCATACCACACACACCTCTATCTACAGGAAACAAAAAAAAAAATCAAACACAATTAAACAGACAAATCAAACATATTCAAACCCGAAACACACCTTCATACACTTGTTTTTTACATGTGCGAAATTAAATTAGGCAAATGAAACAAAATTATAAAGAACAAATGAAATCAAATATCTGATGTTGGATATAACAAAAAAAAAAAAGAAAGAAAGAAACAAATACTCAATTGAGAAAGATGCCAAAATAAAACCAAAAAAAAGAAAGAAAATAAAGATCCAAAACACTAAAAAAAAAGAGAATCGAGAAATCAAATCTTTAGTGCCTCAATTAGATGATAAAACAAACTAATAATCACTTGAGAAAGTCTTTTTGCCAAAACATAAGAGAAGACAAAGCTAAGAAAACATTAAAAAGAGATAAATGAGAGGATAAAATCATAGATAAAACACCAAAGTCATCTTTCTCATTCTCGTTCTCATTTATTGTCTTTTCTTTTTTTTTTTTATTTATGGTGAAGCTTCCAAAAGCTTTACGAGGCTCTAGAACATTATGCTTTAAAAAAAAAAAAGAAACTTTTAATCAAATTTTTTCATAAATATCTAAAGTATTAAAAGATGATTTATCCTTAAACAATTTTTTCCCAAAATCATCCCTTAATTTTTTTTTAAACATTGATTATCTGTCCTTTTAGTATAATATGGAGATAGCTTTTATTCTAAGTATAAATTTTCATTCTCTTGTTTGTGTTAATTATTCAAATGAAAATATATGACTTACTATAATATTGATAACCCATTTTTTCAAAGAAAGTTGGAGATTCTATAATTGCATATATGATATGTCAACATAATTCAATGACAGGAAAATATACAATAAATTATTCAAAAAAAAATATTCGAATTTATATTATGCAAGGAGTATATCTTGTTTTGATATCCTTTTTCTTTCCATTATTTGTGCATAGTACCTCTAACAAGACATGTGAAATGATTCTTGCATCATATTAAAGAAAAGGTGGATAATACCTATGAGCATTTGATTCAATAGTATGCTATCTTCGGTGCTTGAAGGATTGTCCAGGTTCGAGGCATAATCTCCTTCCTAATTAAATAAGTCTTGTGGATAATAGGGTCGGATGAATTGAGGGTAATAGAGACTTAAAAGAAAAAAAAAATGAAAGGTGGACCAAAAACGTTGTTCTTCCCCTTTGTTAATATATTAAAACTTGTTTCAACATTATTTGAGATTATAATAATCTCTAACGGCAATGATGTTCCACGGAAATATGAAAGCTTTTTAAGTCCAACAACAAAGGGGCCCAATTGGATTACAGGCCATGAGGGGGAGGAGCTCACTGGATTCTCAAAGTAATAACAAGGCGTGGGGCCATTAATCTCCCAATTTAGTACGTTGATTAATATATATATATATCCTTGGAGGAATGAACCTAGGCATATCCAAGATTAAATTATATCATTAATTAGTGCAAGAAAGAAGAAATGTTATTTTATTATTGAATAAATATTCTACAAGTTGATCATACAATAGAATATTTTTAATGCAAATAGCAAAGGATAGATGAATTTTTTTTGACAAAAAGATTATAATCGTTGAAATTTAAATTTCAAATTTGTAATATGTTATTTTTTAAAGATAATTATATGAATTAATTAAATTATATTTTTTGTTTCGAAATATTGATAATTGATAACATAGAAAAGGTTCATTACCAAAACCAATTGATGAATATTACTAATTAACTAATGTTTTGTGTCAGTCAATGTTTACATGTGAACATTAATTTATGTATATGACAATGTGTGAAGTCAATTTTAATAACTGAAACTATATAACTAATTCACACATGAACTTATGGCATATTTATGGTTGCTTATATTTTTGCACCGCCCATATTTGATAATATCATAAAAATTTCATAAGATATTTGTTAGGGCAATGGGTCTTAAGGTTTAGTTATAGTATTAGTTAAAAAAATTTTTGCAACATCTTACAAACATATTTGTACTTAAATCATAATAGTTAAATAATGTAAAAATTATTTACTCTTACAATTCTAATAATTAGAATCATTTTAAAAGTTTTGAATTTAAAATTGAATTTAGATGAAAATAAACTTTATTTGTCAAAAGAAAAAACCTTTGGATTATTTAGCATTAATTTTTTAAAAATAATACATTGTTAATGAATATTTTATATTAGCAGGATTGAGATGCCACTAGCTACATATCTCATTAGGTTATATAAAAAATAATAAATTAATATAATAAATAAAAGGAACATGTGACTACAAGTGTTTCTTAATTAGATTAGATTAAGCTTAGCTCGTTTACAATAAAATTTTTTTTCAAATCAAATCAAATTTGATTTTAAAAAATTTTATAAAAATTCAATTTAAACTCAGAACGAACAGAATAAATCACTTGATCTATGACATTATTTTAATGTCACGTATGAAATTTAAAAAATCTATAGACCAAATAATAATTATTCTAATAATTCTTGTGCCATGTAGACATGGCTTGGAATTCTTTTAACAATAATTACAAAATTGTCGGCAGTGTCATGGATTCAAACCAAATAATCCAAATCACATCGATTTTAAGTCATCAGAACACGTTTGGTCCAGAGAACCAGCAAAATTCTAACAAAAGACAAAACAAATCAAAAACGCAAACGCAAACAACAATTTAAAAATATTTAACAAAAAGCAGTTTCTTCGCAGTAAACTATGCAATTTGGTCATAAATCATATACAAGACATATATATATGAAAAGATTAATGCAAAATATAGCAAGTTGAACCTTAATGATGATGCTAAAAGTTGAAAATAGTAGTTATTTTTAATATTTGATAATCATTAGAGTGCAAAAGAATAAAATTTAAATGATTTTTTATATTTATTATCTATTTATTTAATTAATAAATTTTTAAATATTATTTATAATCGTTTATTTAATTTAATAAATAACTATAATAAAATAAAAATCAAACTTGTTTATGAATTATTAGTTAAATGTTTTATTTTTTATATTTTTAGGTATAAATAAAATTTATTATATTCATAATTTAATTATTTAATTAATAAATTTTAAAATATTATTTATAATTATTTATTAAATTTAATAATTATATATAAATAATTGACAGATTTATATGGTATTACGGGATGTCCATGATAGAAAAACAAAGAAATTTAAAGGAAAATTTTATGGACACTTTCAAAATTTTTTCTGAACATCACACAAAATAGAAAATAAGGGAAAATTTTCATGAATACTGAAGTTTTTTGTTGGACACTATTTTTATAAATAAAATTAATAAATTTACCGATAAATATTGTTATATTATAAATAAATTTATTAATATAAATGAACAAAATCAGAGCATATTTACTAATTATTTTTTATCATTGACACCCTTGATTACCGTAAATGGCATGTGATAGTAATCCCACGGTAATTAAATATAAGCAACTACTAATATTTTCTTTAATCCACTGTTTTAGAAGATAAGCATGAGATTAAAATTTCAAAAAAAAATTAAACAATTAAAGAAAAAGACCCTTCAAAACCGTTGGCTGTGATCTTGTAGTGCGCCCATAGTCCCATCCTTCAAATCCGGAAACCGGTTACCGGTTTTTGCTGTCCTTTTTAAGGCGGTTTTTCAAGTTGCACAAACTTCCCGAAAACCAGGAGCCTTTTTTAATTATATATTTCCTAATTAAAAAATGGCTAATTTCAGGTGGAACCCACTTCGGTCCTACTATCTCATATGATATGTGGCGATTCGACCGCACTCTGACACCTGAATGTGCCTGCCACGCGCTGCCATCCTCATTTCTCAAATTTTGGACCCATTTGCATGGCACCTTAACTTTTTTACCATCTGTCCTTTCTTGTGAATCTCCATTTTGCTCTTATCTTTTCTGTATCCTTGCTTTAAAAGACTGTAATTTAAAGAAACGATTAGGGGCAATTTAATGAAAACAAATATTTTGCATCGATTTCCCAAAAGGAAGTTACCTTCCGTAAAATTTTGGATTGCCCTACGCGGAAGGTGACAGTACCTTAACTACGGCTCAAGTGGGGACAGCAAATTAAATTCCTATATTGGAGGTGACTTACACCCGCGTTAACCGGAAGTGGTGAAAAATCAGTGTTCAAAACATAGTACCATATATATTTTTTGTTTTTTAATTAAGATTATTATTTCTTTATTTAATTTAAATTTTTTAAAACGAATCTCCTTAATATTGAAAACAGTGTTTTGGAAATAAAAACAACCGTCTGCGTCCCTTGAACATGAAAACCCAGCGGCCAGTTAAAAAAGAAAAATCGACCCTTTTTTTATAAAATTTATTTCATTTTTTCCCTTAAATACTCTCAGTTCCTTCTATTTTTCAATCTCCCAAATTTCCTACTCTCTTGCATTTCTCTTTCCGGTCTTTCCTAACTAAATTTAAACAGTTGTTTAGTTTTCCTTTACGTTTTCTCTTTTGTCAAACATTTCAAAACATTTCAAAATGCGAATGAGCTGTAATGGATGTCGGGTTCTTCGCAAAGGCTGCAGTGAAAATTGTAGCATTAGACCTTGCTTGCAATGGATCAAAAGCCCTGAATCCCAAGCAAACGCCACCGTTTTTCTCGCCAAGTTCTACGGCCGAGCCGGCCTTATGAACCTCATCAACGCCGGCCCCGAACACCTTCGCCCTGGTCAGTACCTTCAAACAACTTTTATTAACTGCATATCCTTGGAGTTACATAATCGGGTTTTATATTTTTTATTTACAACCTTACGTTATAAACTTGATTTTTTTATTAGGAAATTTTATGATTCTTGGACTGATTTTTTAAATTATTTTCAGCGATTTTTAGGTCATTATTATACGAGGCTTGTGGGCGGATTGTCAACCCGATTTACGGTTCCGTAGGGTTATTGTGGTCCGGAAGTTGGCAGCTTTGTCAAGCCGCCGTGGAAGCTGTGCTAAAGGGTTCTCCGATCACGCCTATTGCTTCGGAATCCGCTGCGTATGGTCAAGGACCGCCGCTAAAAGCATACGACATTCGTCATGTTTCCAAAGACGAGAACTCTGCAGCCTCCAACGATGTTCATCGAGTAAAGACTCGTTGCCGAGTCAAGAGAACTGTGAAGCCGAAGGTGAATAAGCCGGTGGTAAGGGAGGAAAACTGCAACGCCGAAGCCGAGGCACGGTGTTACGCGGACGAGGGAAACCGATCGACTAGTCACGAGTCCTCGCTGAGTCATCAGTCCGATTTGGCCGTTTTGGATGGGGAAAGTAAAGAAACCGAAAGCATGATCTCGGAGGAAACAGCAGCGGCGTCACGACTGTTTCCAGTGGAGCCGGAGTTCGGAGGAAAGGTTTCCGATGAAAGGACGGCGGAGGGATGCGGTGAGATTGCGCTGGAGCTGACGTTGGGGTTTGAACCGGTGATTTCACGTGCGTGTCACGTGGTGGTGCCCATGAAGAAAGACGAGTGGAGGCATATGGCATGTTCAAGGATAGTCGCACGTGTAAAGTAGAGCTGGGGCTTGATTATCCGGCTTAAAAGGCTTTTAAAATAAAAAAAAAATTATAGTTTGGTCCAGTTTTGGCGGCTCGGTTTCGGTATTTGTTTATTTTACACAGAAGAGCTGTGGACTTTTTTTTTCTTTCTGTTTTTTTTTTTTTGTAAATTTTTTGGGTTTTTTCTTGTTTCCCTTTATGAAATAAAAATATGATGTAAAAAAAAGTGGTTTACATGAATAGGAATGGTAAATTTATAGAGGGAATCAGTAAGAATTTTAATTGCGCAACACATATTTTAATTATAGCAATCATTTTTAATTTAAACATTTCATATCTTTTAGGTAAGAGCAAATCAATGAGCAATGCATGTCAAGTACGTGACTAAACTAAAAATATCAATAGAGTGATATTACTTACCTTACATTAACGTTGTCGTTTCAATGTCAGTGGAATTAGATTACAGGGTATTACATGTTTTAATGTCAAGAAGAGTGGATTATCATATATCCTAATAAAATAATAAGACGAGATAATATTTTATGGCTGCTGCTATAAGTAATTCTGCCGGTAAAATTCCACTGGCGGTATATATAAAAATTTAATTCAGTGTTATTTTTTTTGTTGACCAATTTGATTACTCATAAATAAGTAATTGGAGTATAAAAAATTTAACTTTCCCAGCAGCTATTGTAGCACATTGATTTTGAAGTCATCATCATACTAAATTTGTATAAGTAATCTTAAAGTTCTTTTTTACGAATGTTAAACGACTTTTTAAATTATGAAAAAAAAATTCGAATCACTAAATTTCCTTTGATTTTAGTGATTATTTAGTGCATATATTCCTACAAAAAATTGTAAACATATAATTTAATAATTTAAAATACGGTAATAAAATGATAAAAAATAAAAATAAATAAATTAAAATTTTAATAAAATCATATATAAATTTAATAAATTAAAAAATATATCTTATATTTTTATATCGACAAAAATCATAACATATAATTTTTATATTAAATATGATATAAATATATGAACTAATAATAATATATAAAATTTAACATATTTTTTTATCAAGTGATGTGATGTGCTTTTAATTATCAAATAATTATATATAAAAAATTTAGTTCTACCAATGCATTTAAATTATATGAAAAATATTGGTCCAAGTAAAATATGCTAGAGGAAGTGAATAGCACTCTAAAAATAATATAAAAATTGAAAACTTCTTTAAGTTCAGATGTTAAAGCAATAAACAAATTTACCAAAAAAGGTTGGAGAAGAAAATGATGCACAACGATTTAGAGTGGTTTGACCCTTCTTGACATACATCCATTATCTTGAAAAGCCCAGCCAAGGATTTTTAATCCACTATATGATGGAATTGCAAGTTCCAACAAGCTTCTACAGAGTCGAGCTATCTAAAGCTCAAAAATAGGATGTACAAGTCCCAACTCAAGCTGTCCTCGCACTCAAAGACCAAAGTGTTTTTCACACTTTGAAAAAAAACAACAATAATATATTTATGATCACTCAAAAATCAGATTACATAAATAAAACTCACTACAAAATTCAATCAAAAGATAAAAAAAAAAAAAAGTTTGACTCTTGAATGGAATGATATGATCCTTGTTTTAGCTCAATTCTTTGTTGTTCTTCGAATTTTTTGGATGGATTTATAGGTGAATGAGACTTTCTAGCCTTTGGAAGAATGATTGGAGCATTGAAAAAAAAAAATCTCTTGCCAAAAATTAAAATCTAGCCATTGGATCATGATATTTTTGAATTTTTGCCTTGAACAATCGGACACCAAACATTTGTAGTTGGATGCCCCTAGTCTAGATAAGTTTTTAACTTAAAAAAATAACTCAGGTGGTTGAATGCTGAATGTGAACAGTTGACGGCTACCCTCACATTCAAAACCAAAGTGCTCCTCACATTTTAAAACAAACAACAAGAATATGTTTATGATCACTTAAAGATTAGATTATACAAATAGAGATCACTATAAAATTCACTCAAAAGATAAGAAAAATAAAGCTCTATACTTTTTAAGAAAGATATATTTAATGGAATGCTTTGATTTTTGTTTTAGCTTAATTCCTTATCGTTCTTCAACCTTATTGGATGGATTTAAAGTGAAGGAGACCTTTTAGTCATTTGAAGATATATTAGAGTATTGAAAGTGTCATAACGTCTAGATCTAAAGATCTATCGTTAGACATTAATTTTAAGGAGTCGTCATCAAATTTTTTTATTTAAGTGCGATTGACTACTTAAAGAATCTATCTTTTTAAGGAATACCTAAGCTTAAGGGTCTCTAAAAGAATAGATTCAGATATTAACCAGAATAGGATTCAAAAGTACGGTTACATATGAGAAAGGTTGTAGCACCCTCACAACATCTATCAAAAGATGGTACCAGCTTAATTTTGTGTTATCCAATAAGCTTTAAAAATTTACCAAGTAATTAATTATTAAAATTATTTTCAATTGACTCTAATACTTTTAGTATAAAATTAAAAAAAAATTTTCACCTTAAGAGTATGCAAAGAGACTACTGTTTTACTTACAGAGGCTCTATCGTCGGATTATTTAACATTAAAGAAAATTCAAGAAAATAAAAAAAAAAAAATGATTCAGCTTTAGATATAAATATTTTCTTTTCAAAAACTCATTGCTTTTGTATAAAAAAAATTGATACTTTCAAATTTTTTCCAAAATATTTTTTTTCTGAAACTTTAATTTCGAGAAAAATTGATACTTTCAACTTTTTCTCAAAAAAACCTTTTTTTTTAGAAAATTATTTTCAAAGAAAATTGATATTTTTAACTTTTCCTCGAAAATATTTTTTCCGAAAACTTATTTTCAAAGAAAATTGATACTTTCAACTTTTCCTCAAAAATATTTTTTTGAAATTTTATTTAAAGAAAATCATTTAAAAAAATAAAATAAAAATAAAAAATAAATAGAATAAAGAATACTAAATAATTCTAATCTAATTCAATAATAATAATAATAAATATATGTAAATATAAACAAAAAACAAAAAAAAAATTTTTTGAACGGCTTAACTTAAGATAGAAAAGGCTGCTCGAAAATGCTGCTCAGGGACGTCGGCTCCAAGGGTCGGCTGGCACTCGGGTCACACAGGGTCAAACACGGTTGGCACTTAGGTTGGGTCGTCTGATTTCAAAACACGCGGATCCTCTGAGAATAGTAACGTCAAAACGACGTTGTTTTTCAGCAAGTATAAAAGGCTTTAATCTCTGTTATTCAATATATCACTTCTTTCCCTCTCTTTCTTCTCCTCTTTTTCTCTCCCCCTCTCTCTACCCCCTTAAGAACACCGATTGATATTTAATTGGATTCTGAAAATTCTTATTGGAATCTAGGTTTCTTGTCGAAAAGTCATCAAAAAGTTAGTCATTTCTGGGAGGTTATGCCAGAAACTGGGTAACTTGTCAGAAAGTTCAAAGTTGGTCGAAATCTCGCTGGAAAACTTAATATCGTCGAAAAATTTTGCCTGATTCTGAAAATTTTTCGAAAATTTTCAAAAAAAAAACTTCAAAAATTCTAAAAAAAATTCTCACAAATTCTTAAAGCTGTTCTAACGTACCAGAACTTTTTTAGCTTCTATTTCCTCTCTGTGCCCCATTCTGTGTTTGTTCTAACACCTATTTATAAGGATTGATCAGAAGAGTTTCTGATCAATCTCAATTCCTTCTGGGATTAGGATTCATTCTTTGAATCCAATTTAAACTCTTTCAATCCTTTGATTCACGGTAGAACCTCCCTTATAAAACCAAGAATCAAAATTAAGACCGGATAAACCATCCAAAAAGAAAAAAAAAACATGATAACAATAATAATAATAATAGATAAATATAAAAAATATTAATAGATAAATAAAAATAATAAAAATAGATAAATATAAAAAAATACATTAATAGATAAAAATATATATATATTAATAAAAGAATAAAAATGTATATATATTAATAGATAAATAAAAAAGATTAATAGATAAATAATAATAAAAATATATTTATAAATAAATAAAAAATAAAAATAAAAATAAACAAATAGATTTATCCATTTTGACCAAATTCAATTGATCTGGACCTGAACCAAATTGAGTGTATATAAAAAGTGAAAGATCTCTTGCCAAAAATAAAATCTAGTCGTTGGAACATGATATTTTTAAATTTTTGCCTTGTGCAATCTGATGCCAAACATGGGTAATCAAATGTCCTAGTCTTGATAAGCTTCTAACTCAGGTAGTCGAATATTGAATGTAGGTAGTCGACTGCTCTGTCCTTTTATGAGTTTTCGTTTCAAAAAATATCTTGGACAGTTGTATGCTATAATCAGCAATTGAATGCCTTAACATTTTTAGATTCTTTTATAAAATTTTCATTCGGCATTGGAACCTCATTTTACGACAATCGGATGTCATTGCAACATCATGCTTTCCTTAGTTTTTTATAGCTTCATTTTCTTCCAATTGCTTCTCCAAATCAATTCTACTTGATTTGAACAGTTTTCAAAAGTTGTTCTTCTTGATATTTGATTATTAGCTTTACTTCAAGATCAATTCCATCCACATTACTCTTCAAAGTAATTCCTTGTACAAGATTTTGCAACATTAAAAAAAAACTTATTTCATTTATTAGATTAGCCTTTCCTAAATGCTTTTTCAAGCTTGATCCTTAATAAATTTAATTTCTAAACCTAAAACACTTGAACAAACTTATTAGACTAAAAAAATAAGGTTTTACTGTCATAAAAAATAATGTGTTCAATAGACTAAACAAAAAACTAATGAACAAATTAAATAAATGATGAAATTATGGTAGTAGATATTGTAGATATTTCATTGTATAGGGAATTTTTTTAAAAAAAATTCAAGTTAATTTTAATTCAAGAGTAAAATAAGTTTGATTTTAATATTCATAATCAAATTTTAATTAAACCAAAATTTTTTATTTAATATTTACTTTTGGGCCTCAAAACTTGTTTTTGGATCTCGAATCAAGTTTTTTTTTTTTTTTTCGTTTTGGTTATCTTTTTCTATTGGTTAGCACTTTTTTCCTTTTAACATGAAATTGGAGTCTCATACTTCAATCAATTATGAATTGAAGGAAAAAGATACATTAACTTTTAATCTCAAACCAAATTATAATATTTCTTTTGTATCTATTCCTAACAATAAATGAAGTCCTCAACTCCAATTTTTTATACACATTAGCAATGTAATTAAAAATGAT